TACGAAGCTTCAGGTCTGCAACCCAGAAGCACGCTCGAGTGACAGAATGCTCGCTCGAGCGAAGAAATTCAAAACATACACCTCGCTCGCTCGAGCCAAGAATTACAACTCTCAAGTCCAGAACCAGACGCAGACGCAAGCTCGAGCGAAGGACTTCTCGCTCGAGCCACCAGATACAAAACTCAACTCTCGCTCAAGCGAACAAACCCTGGCTCGAGCGAAGGATCTAAAACAAAGAGCTCACTCGAGCGACAAAGTTCTCGCTCGAGCGAAGACACCAAAATCTGGGCAGCAACCAATTGCTCCCAATCACACCAAACCTGTAACAAACCTGCCCAACACATCCTATAACTCAGAAATAAGGAATTAAAGGATAGAAATGCAAACTATACAACAATACTCAATCATGGAACTCAAGTCCGGAATACTGTACATAAAGGGGAAAACCCGGGATCGCTATAATTGAAATTTGAATTTTTAAACCTTCTCGTTTTTTCTTTTCAAAGCCAAGTCAAATCGATAATCCAAACAAGGTTTCAACGTGAAATCCCTTCAGCATAACATATCAATGAATTCACATTTTAACTATTCAATGTCTTGGTGTACATAAGTTATAATAGCAAACATATTCTCAGCTTGACATTTTAACAAACACCTCACACACACAATGAGGTGAGTATTCTTGGGCTTAGAGAGAGAGAGAGAGAGAGAGAGAGAAAAGGGGGCGGGCATTGGATTTGTCATGTTTTCCTGATTGGCCAAGGCCCAATTTTCAGGCCCACTTTATGTGGGCCTTGAATATATGGGTTGGACTTATGAGCTGGCCGATACACCCATGTCGGAAGGTCATACTAACCTCATATATATCTATTAAATAATAGATATAATCTCTCTCTCTCTCTCTCTCTCTCTCTCTCTCTCTTTTTTTTTTTTTTTTTTTTGTGTACATATAATTAACACATAAGGCATGCCATGGTATTAGAAAGGATTTGGCTTTTTTTTAAAAGTTATTTAATTTGAGAGAGTGTTTGGATTTAGTAGATCAATTTTAGAATCGATTCTGATGATTTGAACAGTTCATTTTTTAAAACTCGTTAATTAAAATATTCATATAAAAAATTAAGATAATTGAATATCAATAGCTATATATTTAAAGCATATCTATTTCAAAAAAAAATAGACGACAAATAATTCTTTAACAAGCTAAAATAGATGACATATTTGTTTCAAGCTAAAATTTCTGAATAATTCTTTTTGTATTTCTATTTTTTTTCCCATATACTTAAAGAATTATGTTGTGATTTGTTTTAAAGAAGAAAATAACAACACAAAAACAAAAAAAAAATTGAGGACCTAATATGCAGCTCTCTTCCCATTGTTATATTTCCTAAACTTTTTAAATATAATTATAGAAGTCTTTGAAGTTTGGTATGTATAATCATATAGATTATGATTCCAATTAGAATAAGGTAATTCTAGGAATAATAATCACAAAATTTAAGGAAGCAATACTAATAAATTTTGGTAATGATTTAGAGGATTAAAAATTACCTTAATTTATATAAATTATATTTTGAGCTAATCATAGAATGACATGTTTATTTTAAGTGTTATAAAATTCAAAAAAATTGAGAAAATTAGAGTGAGACTTTCAACTTGAAAGTGGCTACAACACTTTTACTTATATTATATAATAATAATATGATTTTATCATCTACCAATACTCTATTAATTTAATTGTTTACACGAATGATTTTTTCGATAAATTTTACAAAATAAATGATTTACATATAGAGATAACATGAATTGCATTGTGATAGAACTAGCATATCACCCGTGCTATGCACGGGATAAAATAATATATAATTTATTAAAAATACAATAATTATATTTAAATTTTTTATATTTTGTCTCTTGTAAATAAAACTTTATATATAAATTCAAGTGTTTTGCTCCAAATATTTCTTTACTGTAACATATAGTATAGATAAATTAAAATTGATGTATTAACAATTAATAATTAAAATTATGCTTTGTTATAAAAAAATGACAAAGTTCTAATATTTCATTATTTTAGAATAAAAATATATGAATTTAAAAAATTTGTCATATTGATTTTTGAAAGGGAAATAATTAAATAAATTTTAAAAACTTAATGAATAACAAATAATCATTGTAAAAATAAAATTTCTAAATGCTCTAACATATAATAATAAAATTGGTTGAATATATAACAATTAATATTTAACCATCTTAATTTTTTATATAAATATTTTACCTAATAAGTCTTAAAATAAGAACCACCTTTTACCTAATTCTCTTTCAAAACACACAGTTTTTGCTGCCTTTCCACACAATCTCTCTCTCTCTCTCTCTCAAACATGACTGAGTCATAGAATTTCACTTCCAAGTATTACTCCAGCATCCTCTGTCACCTCCTCTACACCAACAGTCTCCCAACCCATTCATTCGATCTCATTACCGACCCCACCACCACCATCCCAACCACCACCACCTTTGAAAACCCAAAAAAAGATTTCAAAACCCAAGTCAAGACCCTAGAAGTAGTCGCAAGACTCATGGGTCTAGTCAAAACATCACTATCATTTTGCGAAGTTCCAACCTTTCTCCAACAACAATACTTTGACAAAGTAGGTGGAAATTGAGGGAACAAAATGGGTTTGAGTTCTGACATGGGTTCGAAAGATTTGAAGAAAAAAGTGATGAAAACAAAAAGAAACAGAGAGAATTTAAGAGAGATAAAGTTTGAAAACAAGAGGAAGGTTTTTAGGAGAAAGGAAGATTAGCCAAATAGGGTCTATGGAAATTGTTCTTCGAAGGTTGACAATGTTAATTTGGATCATAAGAATAAGGTTATTGTTGTTCAGAGACAACCTCGTGGAAGTTTGAGAGCAAAAAAAAGTGGAGTTAAGAATGTAAATCAGAAGGAAACATGGAGTGAATCGAAGATTGGGAACAAGAAAAAGAGTCGAAACAAAATAGCTAAGAAAGTCCAACAACCCGTGTGTGTTTCGGAGAATTCGAGTCCTGTTTCGGTTCTTGGTCTTCATCATCACAGTTTGAGTCCTCATCATGAGTCTACGTCAGGTTTGTTTTTGGAATGACCATGTACTTTTTTTATACTCTGTTTGGTAGTTTATGTGTTTTAATTTGTTTCGTTTTTGTTTTTCATGTTTTCGAAAACAGAAACTGTTGCGTTCCAATTTTTACCAGAAAATATTGTCCTGTTATAGCCAAGTCCGACTAACTTCATGCAATTGTTCTTTTCATCTCTGATCTATGAAAACACATCATTCAGTTTTAAAAAAATAAGTCTAATTTTAGCGTAGAGTATTTTTTTTTTCTTTTTCTTTTTTGTGTAAAAATAATTTTTAAAAACTAAAAGTACTTATAAAGTTACACAAACACAATTAGATAGGAGTAAATTTAGGATTTAGAAAAATAAATCAAGTTCCTTAAAATTCTAACTCACCGGTAATTAATATTTTTTCATCAACAATTTGTTATTCATATGGATTGAAAAAAAATTATCTATATTAGTTCAATGTGACAAATAAAATTTGTAAAATTTATTATATTTTTTAAAAAAACCTTAAGTTGGTTAATGTAATTTACCAACAAATTTTTGTACATAAAATTTCACAGTAGTAATATGTCTTGTGAGACATTTTCATTTCAAATTAGAACATTTATTATTGTCTTTGAATTTTAAAATATAACTATCACATTATTCTAAATAAATTTTATATATAAAATCCTTTTATGTAAATCAAATTTTTTTACTAAAAAACTGAGGGTTTCAAAAAATAAAAAATAAAAAACAATTTGACAAATGAGTTTATGTTCAAAAAATGAAACAATAATACGAGGTATCATCGTCATCCAAGCTTGTAGTCTTATTTTGTATGTTTGTAACAGGACGCACCAAGGTGTGGGGTTTGATTTAAAAATTTTGCAAATATCAGTTTTTTTTTTTTTTTTTTTCTTCATGCAATTTGGTAACAATGCATATCCCTATTTTTCTTCAAAAAATCAGAATTTATCTTTTTTTTAAAATTTATTTTAAATTTTGATCTTTTTGAGTTTTTGGAGTCTGGTTGCACAATATTTTAAAATAAATTTAGCATTTTAGATGAGATTCATAATTTTGTTCTTCTTATTGTCTGTTGTTTCAATTCGTTGTTTTATTTGGTTTTGGCAATTTGAAATCCTACATACACAATTTGCTTACATCTCTGCGCATAGTAACATGTATATGTCATGTTGGAATGATCATCCAGGAAACAGGCAGATTCAAAGACAAAGAAGTCTACCAAAATTGGCATCAAATCATAGTTCTTACAGCAGTGGCACCACTAAAGAAGATTTGGTACGTTGATTTCATGTTTTGTATCTATATTTGAGCTTTATGATTTGAAGTTATTAATTTTTCACATTGACTTTTGAATAGTCATTGCAAAAGCAAAGCAATGTTTCTTTTGTGATGTGTCAAACACTCAATAGTGGTTCTTTTTTATCTGGTTATACTAAATTTTTGTATTTAAATTTCATTTTGCATATGTAGTTCTCATGTGAGTTGTGGAGTAGCTCTTCTAGACGAGTTACTAGCATTCCAATAAAGAAGTTATTGGCAGAAGAAATGTCAAAAGAAACGGAGTCCAAGAGACGGCCACCAAGTGTTATTGCTAGATTGATGGGTCTTGATAGGCTGCCTTCTCAGTAGCCTCTTCATAGACAACATAAAGTGTTACGACTCGAAATAGGGGCTAATCGGAATCGCGACCGGCCAGCGCCTCATTTCGCACCCTAGGCCTACTACTAACTAGTTTAGAGAACAAAAAAATAAATCATCGCAAATACTAGGTGATTACATTTAACTAGAGCGTTGCTATATAAGTCATACAAGTCATAAAGGAAAGTTAAGTTACAACAATAACTTGGCCCTATGCCAACAAACGAGGTAATACATGGCTTATATAAAACTATAGGTCTAGAATCCATCCCAGGCCACGAGACACCACAAAAATAGGCCTTTGGTTATCCACTAAGCATTCTCCTTACCTGAAATGGGTTAGTAACACACTCGTGAGCTATAAAGCTTGTGAGAACATATTTACACAATTTACAACTTTGCCATGGTTCAAACATAAATATTTCAAATTTCAAGCATAACAGTTCACATTCAGAAGCCCAATGGCTGAAAAGACAGAATAAATGCTCTTATATATATATATATATATATCAAAATATACATACATATGTCCATTCGACTGGATACGTTGCCAGAGAAGTAGGGAGCTACCCATACTAATATCAAGTGGTCATGATCATGCCAAGGGACGATGGCCGCGTCCCAACAACCACCCTTATAACGCCTCACCCATTGGTATCTTTAATTTCCCCCAACGTCCGGGATGTTCCGTTCGAATGTACGTTATTACATTTGCAAGAGTTTTATAACAATGTCTTAACCATGGCTTCATAAAAACAATATGTATATAAGCAATACATGTGAGTCGGCTTATCCCGTTAGCTCCTGTTTTCTAAAACATAACATGATTTTCAAAATGTATTCAATGTACTTTTCCAATCATAGGCATACTTGCTAAAGTTTAAAATCATATGTTTATTCGGTTATTCATAAATCAATGCAATCTCATGCTCCAAAATAATTCATCGATCAAAGCATGTCATTATATTCAAATACATGTAAAAAACGTAAGCATGAACTCACCTAAATGTACACGAAGTTTGGTAAAATCAACCGGAATCGAGATCTAAACACAACGTATGAAAACTAAATTATAGTAGGTCTGGGAATTAATTCTAAGCACGAAATAAATATTCAAACCATAATCCCGAAGTGTAGAATTTAAAAGGGGTTCTTCTCTTGTGGTCCAGAAATTCTTAGTTTGCAGCACTTTAGATCAGAGGCTAAAATCCTAATCAAAACACTTTAAAATATCTTGAAATTTTACAGGGTTATCAATCAAGATGTTATGAAACTTTTTCATGAGGACTCGTCTCCCAAAAATGCTCATAAATAGGGTAGAATGGCAGTAAAACAAAGCTGGTTCAAATCCGTTGCAGTTTCTAAAAAAATCATTTCCACAACAATCTATCTGTTGAATCGAGTTGAAACAAATTGGATTGGAAATATAACACTCTAATTTAACTCTGGTCCAAAAATCAACCGTTAAAGTGGCCTAAATATGTTTTGACGAATTTTCAAAGTAGATTGTTTGTTCAGGAAAAAAAAAACTATTTGTTGGGTAAAATCCTTGTTTTGAGCTTTAGCCTCATGGTTCATTGCAACATGATATCAATGGGAGGAAATAAAGTCTAAATCTGTATTTTAGGATTTAGATTCATGGTTCATTGTAACATGAAATCAAAGGAAAGAAATGAAGGTTTTAACTTATGGAATTGAAGTAAATGTAGAGAGGAATTTACCTAGACTTGAAGCTTGAAGAACAAAGATGAAAGTGTTTGATTTTCTCTCTTAAATCTACAGATTTTCAGCAAGAAGATGAAGTTTCTGCACATATAGGATATATATAGGAAGAAATGGGTAGGTAGGATCAATGGCTAGGATTGAATGGTGGAGTATGTGGTAAAAAGGGGAGTGAGGTGGATATATCTTTCACCTCACCAAGAAATTACAGCCATGGTGGCTGATTTTACCACCACAAATTGCACTGCTCGGATAAAACGCAGTGTGCGGACATCCGGGCTGTCCGAAAATCGGTTTAAGAAAAATTCCATTTAATCACTGTTGGCTAATTTCGACATTCTGAGTTTGATGGTGTGATCCGTTTCGCCTAAATAAAAAATATATATATACATCGTTATGAGTTCCGTTTTTGACACACTCGAAGAGGATTATCAATTATTGCTCTGTTATAGGTCCGCCACGGATGGCGAAGTATAACTAATATTTATTAACATGACATTGATGAACTTATTAAATATGAGATGTGACCTCCGTTCATTGACGGTGTCAAACAAAAGGTGAAAAGTTGGGTCGGGTCTTCACATAAAGGGTTCTCAGAAACTTATCGACAATGGACTGCATCAGTATCATCGCAAAGGGATGGAAAACCATATGAACACCGATCAAATAGGAAAGACTCAATGGCACAACAAGAATGCAAGGATGAGTATGAAGTTTTGGAAACATCAAAGGTTGAGAGAAGTAGTTACCCAGCAAAAAGGACTATAAACTCACAGCTATTTGAGGTAGAGATGGTGTTCATTCAACAGAAGTTCATGGCTGCAAAATATCTTTCCACAAATGACAAGCTTCATAATTCAAAAGAATTTTGTGATATGCTTGACATGCTGGATGCCAACAAAGACTTATTGATTAAGTTTCTTCAATAGCCAGATTCCTTGTTTACAAAGTATCTCCTTGATCTGCAAGGTGTTGCTCCTAGATCAAAATGCAGTCACTTGGTAGATGTGGACCCATCAAAATTGGATAAGTATGAAAGCAGTACCATTGGTTGGAAGTCAGAGAAAGGGATTTTACAATGCTCTCGTTGGAAACATTATGATGGTCTTTTTACCCACTTCTATAATCATCGTGGTGCTAAAAAACCTCTTAAATCACTAAACATTGAATTAGAAGGGAAACATGAGAGTGAGACAAACATCCTCCCAACACGGATTGTTGTTTTGAAGCCAAATCCTGAGAAGATGCAGAATGCTACTAAATCTGTTTTATCAACCAGTTCTTTTCATGGTAATTAGTCAGATTGTAGGAAGCACTGTGAATATCGGACCATTGATACTGGTGAATGAGGACATTGAGTTAAGAAAAACTCATCTAATGATGATGCAGGTTTTTTGAGGCCCAAGTCTAGGGAGCCCAAAGAAAAAGCTAAGGAGATTACTAGGAAAATGAGAGAAAGTTTACACGGTGAGCCGATGGATTTGCCCTCCATATTTAAGGGATATGCTGGGGATGATAGCTCATATAATGTGTCTGAAAGTGATTCTAGAAGTGAATTAGAACTGACAATATCGATTCTCAGAAAGACCTATCACTGGAGTAACCGACCTAGACCTTCATCATGGCTCTCGAATGTGTCATCTGTAAGTAAGGAGGCCAAGAAGAGACTCTCAGAGAGGTGGAAAATGTCCCAAAGGTATCAGAATGTTGGAACAGTTGGTAAGGCCAGCTCTCTAGGTCAAATGCTTTCTATTAATGATACGGAAATGAGGCCAGAGAGTTTTTATCCAATGACTGGTTTGGATGGATCTAGTGACAGATTTGTTAGCAATGATGAAATTGCTGGGTGGGATAATCCTTTGGGTATTAGTAGTAGGGATGGTTGGAAGGATAGTATCAGAATTTCATTCAGATCGAGATCTTTTGTTGCTTCATCTGTCAGCTCTGGTGGCCCTAAAACAAACATGCAATGTGAAACTCTTGACCAGGACAGTTATTTGATTGTTAGAGAAGCCATGAATCGGGGTAAAAATAAGGCAATCAGGAGAAATTCTAATAAGAAAGAAGATTCTTCATCCAGAAAAATAAGATCCAACAGTAAGAAATCTCAATCCTCTCGTCACACCTATAATGATGGTACTGATTCCTTTGGGGAAGAGCAATTTAACCTATCTCAGGTGGAGATCAACCTTGGAAAGAAAGATCCTGCAAAACAGAAGTCTTTAGTTTCTCAGATGCGGACTCATAACATCAACGGTAAAATTTTAATTAATGATGCTGAGGCGGATGGTGGACATGCGGATGTGTATTCTGAATCTCTTGATGAGGAGTTGCCCTCAAAACCATCATCTTGTTTGTTAGGAAATCGTACTTCTTCGACCCCTGGTCCAGAGGATTCAAAAGCACAGGTTTGATTTACTTGACAAATAATCTTTTAATACTTGACACAACATAGATGCAGTATTAATTTCTGTGGTGGTCTTTTCCCCTTTCTATACCCATACCTTGTGAGGCAAAATAGTTCAATTTGCTTAACATTTATTTTATTATCATTTGTAATATGGTTGTATTTGATGAACTTGTGCATTGCTTGCTTGTTGTCTTTCATGTTTGTTGGATTTTTTTAATGTGTACAGAGCATCAATATCTCATGATAAATAATAACATTTTGTTATAGGTGCATTTTATTGTATCTTGCTATATGATTAGATACATGATATGTATAATTTATGCACTATGTTGATTATTTATTTATTTTTATTTTTTAGAATGGTCAACTTTTCCTTTAAAAATTTCATATGCTATTGCTTCAAACTTCAAATATACATTAATATTAAATAGACTGATTAGAAACTTTCTATTGCTCTTTGAGAATGGCAATAGGGTACGCTCTGGGTTGATCATCCCTCCCTCAATCTTATCATGGAATAGAGGTGATGCAGCACATTCAAGTTTAAAGCAGTCCGAATCTGGTCATAGGTTTAGGTTTAATAAAAGAATGCTAAGGGATGTGTGGGGTTTGGTTGTGAAAGGTTTGGGCTCAAGGGAAAAGGAATTTTGGTGGCATAATAAAAGCTGTTTAAAGGCTGTAAACTGTAATCCATGAACATTAAACAGAAAAGAAGGAAAAAGAGGAAGAAAACTAGGAATCAATCCTAGAATCCCTTAGGCGTCACGCCTAGGGGCTAGAGTTGCAATTCACAAACCGAAAAGATGATTGAAAACTCTAGAAAATTCTATATAATTTTATCATTGAATTAGAAGTAATGCATAGCATACTATAGAATTAGAGGAGACTTCTTTAACCAAGTAGAACTAGGATTTACCAAATAAGAAAGAAAACTAATAAAAAAAATTGACTTTCAAAACTTATCTAATACTAAATAAAACTGTTAAACAAATTAAAATGATACCAAGGCTCATGGCACAACAAAACAACCCATTCTTGAGACCAATTCCAAAAATTCTACAAATTAAAAAAATATCCAACCCTAAAACAGAACCAAAGCTCACAAAAAACATAGATATGAATAGAGAGAAGACTCAAAACTAAATTATTCTAGCTCCCAAGTGGGCCCAGCATCATCCAACACATGCCAAATCAATGTTTGAGCATTAGAAGAATATTTTCAACATTGTTTATAAACTTAAGTATTATGTTGCCAGTTGTCTCCATCAAGAGGGGATCCAACTTGGATTTGACACAAACCACATTAGTATGGGTTTAGGAGACAAGTCAAGAATTTTTTTCCTTTTATTGGGCGGGTTGGGGGGAGCTTTTTTTCCCTTGTAATAATTATATGAAAATCATTGGAAATGATATAATTATTGACTCCATACACATGAATTCTTACCTCATGCAAGCTAATGTTATGGTGGACTGCCATTATGATGAACATGTAGAGTAATGGAGGTAATTGATGATTGATTTATAGGAGGTAATCCTTTGTTGTATTAACTCTTTTGGATTTAGGACGAATACTTGTAGGTTTATGTCATTATTTATTGAAATGAAGTTGTTTATTGTACAACTTTATAGAGGGAAACAGTCCTTACCCACATTTCTCTCATTCCACTAATTGTTTTCTAGTTTGAGAAACACTTTAGTGAGGTAATCCCTCACTTGCAAACAATTGGCAACATTTCATGATTATGGTTGAACCTAGCATGATTTTGTCTATGAATTTATTTGTTATTTATTATGCTATACATTAATTGATTTTCTTTTTCTTTAAGTGATATTCTCGAAAGTAAGTATGTGGTTTTATGAGGGAGGAAGACAAATATTGTTGTGTTATTATACAAGTAAATTTCATGGTTGGCAAACCTATTTAGACATGTTCCATTGGATTCGAATATGGTTGTCTTCTTTTCTCTACCTACTTCCTAGTTGAACCTATAACCTCTACCACAAAATCCACCCCTTATAAATGAAGAGGGCGGGAAAAGTAGTAGTAGTTGTTGTTGTTTTTATTTTTTTTTTGTTTCTTTTTTTTTTTTTTGGGGGGGGTTTATTGTCATCCATATAAAAGAGTTCATTTGGTGTTGAATTTCCAAATCGGTGAATGCCCTATGATTTCTTGTAGTCTCATTAATTGGAGTTTTTGATGAGGCCAAAACTAAAGATAATCCATATTATGTAGTGTGGAGATGATTGAATCGTCTGCATTGTGTCCAAATCATGTGGACGCCCTTCATATAGCCCCTTGGCTTGCTTGTTGACTTATAAAGATTAGTTGTAACGGTAGATGGAAGTATTAGGGAATGAGGTAGGCCTAGATTAACGTTAGCTGGTGTTGTAAATAGAGATATGGATCTACTTAATTTGACTAACGAAATGGCCTTTGATAGGGCCACATGGAGAAGAAGGATTCATGTAGCCGACTCCATTTGATGGGACTTAAGGCTTGGTTTGGTTTGGTGTGGGCTAGGCTAGGCTTTTCAATTCTTTCTTCTATTTAGAATTCTAGAGTTCTCTTTCTCACAACAATTAAAGCTCTCACCTTCAAGGTATTGCACTCATTCTGTTTATTGCAACAAGTGGCATGCCAGTTTTTATGTAGGTTTTTATGTGATGATGTAAGATGTAGTTAGACATTAGCAGACTTCGTTATATCTTGAGGCTATGTGCTTGGAATCAATTTTCACAACAATCTAATAAGATTGGTGGGAGGATTTATCATAAGGCAGCAATTTAGTGTGTCATGACGTCCTTATTGAAATTGTTTTCTTTCTTTGTCCACCCCCCCTTTTTTATTTTAAATATTCATATTTATATATATATATATATATATTTACTTCTTCACTCCATTGTTTTAGCATACTAAAGCCTTTGGTTAATGCTCAGACGAGGACACAATAACTAAATTGGAAATATGGTTAGTACTATGTTGCTTGGAATGCAGATTGGTTCAGTACAAGGAACGTCAAATGGAACATGTAGCACATGCTCTTAAATGTGGTACATTTGGGGTAGGCTTGGATAGATCACACTATTAGAAGACAAATTTCTAGGAGTATTGTGGCCCTTTTTCTTCATTTTATCTAGCTAAAACCCTACTCTAAATTTTAGTCATTATATTTGATTTTTCCCTTGTAAAGAAAACGTTCAGGAAATAAATAGGAAATTTTTTTGGATTGCTTTGGATTGGTAAATTTGTCAAATGCAAGCACATTATGACTAACCTTATGTAACTGAATAAACCTATATGGTTCTTCCCCTCCCTAATTTTATTTGAATTTTTTTTAATGATTTTGGCATTTTTTTTATTTTATTTTAAATATAAAGTTCCCGATTCCTATTATAATAAACTTTCTTTTTATAATACACACTAGAGTGCATTTTCCTCTAAGATGGATGGTTATGTATGTTGGAAAAATGGTTTAATATAGGCATATTTTTTAACCCAATTTTGGTGGGCCGCAAACGTCTTTTGGGGTGGGTCCGAAGAGGTGAAGTGTTTCTTGCCGCGTGACAAGTCACATGGTGAAGACGGAACGTCAAAACCATTTATGAGTGAATGGGAAGTTGACGTCGTTTTCGGGTCTAACATTAATTTTTTAGATAAAATTCATTTGAATTTTTTCAATAAAAAATATTGTGGGAATTTAATTTAAATTCTAAATTCAAATTTTAGGTTCCTAAGTGGTTTCCTAAAGTTTGTAATTGTGGGAATTTAATTTAATTCTAAATTCAAATTTTGGGTTCCTAAGTGGTTTCCTAAAGTTTGTACCTCTTCCTTTATTTATTAAACTATTCAAATAGTTTAATATATATATATATATATATTCCAAATAGTTATTAATAATAAAGTTCCTAACAGTTCCTTTGTTTGTCCACCAACAGACACTTTTCAAATGTTTGAATAGTAGTGTTCATGTACAACGGTCAGAATTGTTTGAATTCAACTATTGCACCTGTTCTTTCAAAAGTGCATCTGTTCATTCAAATTGTTGTACCTGTTCGGGGACTATGTTGCCTATAAATTGAGATTCTATTCCAGCAGTCTTTACACTGAGAGACATCCGAAAAATCAGTTTGAAAATCTTTTCTCTTGCTGTCCAGATTTTCCTTTTGCATTATTTCTTCATTCTAGTTTTAGAATAAATATTCAGAGAGTTAGATCACAGGTTTTGGTTCGCCGAACAATTTGTTTTGGAGTGCTACTACAAATTGGTTAAGATCATTGTATCCTGGGAGATAGTATGCCATCTCACGTTGTAGCGACCTCTAATTTTGTTATAAGTCATTATTTATTATTATTATGATTATTAATTATCTTTTTATTTTTTTTTGGGACTTATTAGTTGTTGTGGTTTTCATTGGAGAATTTAATGTGATATTATGAAATTTAATGAGATTAATTTAATTTAATGTGGTTTTTTAATTATATTAAATTAATTTAAAATATTTATATATTTATGTTTGTTATATATATATAAAAAGAGGTGTCATTATATAGATATAATATAATATAATATATAATCTTATATTTATATTATATTATAATTATGTTGCATTACCATGATACAATAGGTAGTCCAAATAGATTTAGGAGTTAAGGGTGGATAAAAAAAAAAAGGGAGAAACAGAGTTGTTTGCGGCGGCAAGCCTCAGAGAGAAGAGAGAGAGAGAGAGATTGAATCATCCAAGAAAGAAGAAAAAAAGAGTGCTGTGCGTGTGTGGCGTAGGAAAGTGAGAGAAAAAGAGAAAAAGAAAAAGATAGATTATGATTTTATTTTGGGTGGCTTTCATTAGTTTTTCAAAATATTTTTTGGATCTTCAAAGAATAATTGGGAGTACACAAAATTCACTTTTCTCTTTGTTTTATATTTGATTTCGTTATTATTATTTATTTGTATTTTATTTTAATATGATTTGATTTTTTGTATTCTATGAAGATGACAG